TTAAAATATTTCTATACCACCTCTTCAGGATCCTGCTTAAGGTGGCTTACAGTGGAAAACCACAATCAACATAAAAACTGTCCATAAAACAGAAGCAGACCATTAAAAAGCTGATAAGACAAAACCCCTAATCAAAAACTGAGTAATAAGATGTGTTGTAAACTGGTGCCTAGAAGAAAGTATAATTAAGTAGGCAAGCCTCAAGTGGGAGAGTGTTCCAAAGGCAAGGTGCCACCACAGAAAATGCCCTATGCCACTTTATATCTGGTCCCCTTAGCATATTATTTTACACTCTGTTTTAGTAGTTTTGAAAGGTTGTAGTTGCTGCAGTTCATCTTTCTTAAAAACAACAGCTACCTGGTAATGTTTGTAGATATAAAATATTAACTTGGGAGAGAACTGTCATCCAGTTGAACTCTTTCTAGTGAAGTGGGATCTTCCATACCTAAGTATGCCTAAAACGTAGATATATTCAAGATTATGTTGCAGCACACGAAGAGGTAACTGAACAGGTAAAAGCAGTAGTTCTCTAACTTTGTACGTTGCATAAAATCATGTTGACTTGCTTGTCATGGAGTGTGGTAGGGGATTCAGAGGCATTGGGATGTATGTCTCAGTCTAATAGGTAGAGTGATTTATAATAATGCTAAAAAGAGAGCTGGAGTTAAGATATTAAACAGTATACGGTGTAAAATCCCTAAAGAAATAAATTAAAACCAGTAACACAATGATGTAAATGTTAAAAAAAATCATGACCATACAATGCAAGGAGTTCACATTAATAATAAAGCTCTGTTGGACAGGGCATCTGGAGATGAAGAGCGCCAGTTTGGTGTAGTGGTTAAGTGCGCAGACTCTAATCTGGGAGAACCAGGTTTGATTCCCAACTCCTCCACTTGTAACTGCTGGATGACCTTGGGCAAACCATAGTTCTGTCAAAGCTGTTCTCTCAAGGGCAGTTCTTGAAAGAGCTCTCTCAGCCCCACCTACCTCACAGGGTGTCTGTTGTGGGGAGGGGAAGGGGAAGGAGTTTGTAAGCTGCTCTGAGACTCCAAGTGAAGGGTGGGGTATAAATCCAATCTCTTCTTCTAAGATGGTTTTATGAAAGAGCATGGAGACTCCACATCCCTGATTGTTGAGCATATTTTTGTACTGCACTAAACTGGCTTCACATAGCTGAGATTGATTGCAACTTCCTCTGAAGTGCAAATCAAGTAATCAGTGATCAGATCTTGGATGACAGTGGCTTTTACATGGCAGTAAGAGTTCTTCTGGGAGAAGGATTAGAAAGGAGGACTCCTTTTCCCCATATCTGACATGTTTTATTCTAATGTCATCACTACCTCAGAATGTTCCTTGAAAAGTCAGTGCACTGGAATAGGAAAGCATTTTGCCAAGTTTATGCAAACACAGGCTATGGATTCAAAAGTTCTCTTCGACTCAGAAAAAAGTTTCTTTGTATCCTGCCCTGTGGTCTGAATATAATCCAGATATTTATCTGTGTTGTGCATGGGTTTGGGAGCATCTTAAAAATATTAGTAATAAAGTCATTGATTATTTTGCTTTAAAAGGCAAGTATTTAGGTATAGATACTACAATCACCAAGAGTAAAAAATGACTGAATGGCTAACAACAACGTCGCGCATCACTTCTGGTGACGTGCTGGCAGCGCGCGCACGCATCAACGGAGAGCTCCCAGAGCCAGTAGGAAAAATCAACTTGGCAACCCTAGTGGAATGGAATAGAAGGGTCACTTTCTATTTTGCTCTAGAAGCTAGATTTATCTCTCTTGTATGTATGGCAATGGCTTCTGACTAGATGTGTGTTTTTGACTAGGAAAATTCATAGGAAACTTGGAAAATATTACCTTTACTGAAGGCTTTCTTGAAAGCAAGGAGCATGGTGGATTTCTGTTTGTCATGCCAACTTTTCAGAAGCTGGATGATCTTGAGTTACCAAAAACACCATTCTTATGTGGCATTCTTATTCAGAAGCAGGAAGTACCTTGGGCAAAAGTTTTTCCTATTCGCTTGATGCTGAGATTGGGAGCAGAATATGGGGGTGAGTTTTAAGTGGACTGTGCTTAATCCCTACTACTCCAAATGCTCTAATCTTCTGAAAAACAATCGCATTTATCTCAGGTGTGATCCAGTATATATTTACATGAAATTTGTGACCATCTGCAGTGACCCTATGTTCATTTTATTTGTAACAATAATTAAAAATTCATAAGTGGAATGGATAATGGAAAGGAAGGGTCATAAAAACTAGTTTATTTCAGGTGTGGCTGCAGGTTTTCCCAATTTTTCTGTTGTGGATAGAGATGCACACTGTTTCCTTGCAAGAGTGTTGCCATGCAAAGAGATGATAAAGCTGCATTTAGGAAGTGTAGGGGGGCTGTAGCAAGAGTGGGGAGGCAGGGAAGTTCTGTGCCACTCAGGTTTAATAGGGTAAAACACATTATTTTTCAAGCTGTCTAGAATGGGGCCTTTTTTCATGGAGACTTATGAAGGAAAAAATGGCCACAATAAAAAGTGTGGTATGCTTGCTTGCTTGTGATTAATCTCTGACTCTACTCATGTGTGAGTGGGTGGGGCAGGCAAGTGAGCTGCCATCACTGCCACCTGGCTCTCCTTCACTTCCCCCACACACACCCTGTTTCTCTCCTCCTTTCCCCCTACCCCATTTCTTTTTTGCTGCCCTTCTCTCATGTTCAGTTTCTTAGTCTCATCCTTTCTCTCCCCCCCCCCCCAACCTGGCTGTTTTTCTTTCTTTATCTATACTGAGTGGGAGAGGAGGGCACCAGTTCAGGGGCAGTTGAGACTGATGGTGTGACCAGATGTGCCTGGCTGGAGGATGGGAGGAGCTATGATTGAGGCAAGTTATGGAACTATGAGTTTGGCAGATGAGCCTCTTGGAGTGGGGCGTTTGTCCCCTTACCTATTTGAGTCTGACATCACTGGATTAGACAATTTCAGGAAGCATAATGGTTCTTAGGAATATTATCCAAATGGATATGTCTATTATCAGAGAGGTCTTTAGCTTTGACTAGGAGATGATGCAAGAAAACCAGGAAAGGAAATAGCATTCATGTTTATTTGATGAGCATTCAGGAGTTTCTGACTTGCCATTTTTGGGGGGCAGCAGTCTAAACTAGGTAGACCTAGGTTCAGGTTTCCCCCACATTGTTTTTTCATTTTTCTTTTTACAGCTAACTATATGAAATCCTGAAGGTAGCCGAAGCTAACTGTAGTAAAGAATTTTAAATTCTTAAAATGTTAATTATGATATATTACAACCTGTTTTGGTAGTGTCTGTCTTTTTTTGGACATCTTCTAAAGAGTTGAGCAAAAGATCTTTTATAGAGGCTACCCTGACCCCAATGGAATTGGCTAAGAGAACTGTACAAGTTATTTTGGGGGGTGAACATTAATGGGATATGCAAGATAGAATGAAGGGAATCTCTTTCTAAGATAAATCAATTAAATGCTAAGGCATAAATTACCATATATCTGCTGGCACACATCTACATAAATACATCTATGCACTCATTTTTTAATGTTTCTGTCTCCTTTTTTTCTTTAATTTGTCAGCTTCTCATCTCAAGACTTAGACATTTATGCTACTAAGAAATTAGTGCATTCTGTCTTTCTTTTTCTTTTTGCTAGTATACCCAACTCCTTTAACAAGTATTCGACATAGAAAGCCCCTGTTTGGAGAGAGAGGACACACGGTCATGAACTTGCTTGTTGTGAGTAAATGATTTTACTTGTATTTAGTTGTTTCACTATTCCTGAGATTAAAGTTGCTGCATTAGAAAAGGAATCAGAATTCAGTTTTAAAACATTTCCATCTGTGAACAAGAATTATAGGAATGTGTCGTAAGATGAACGAGACAAAAGCAAATATGTTAGGTTTAGGAATTAATCCAGAGGTTAAAAAAAATGAAATGGGGGGGGTCTTCAAACTGTAGATTGGGACCCAAAAGTTATTTGTGACTCACTCAGATGGGTTGCAAGGCCAAGAAGTAGGACAGGGTGAGCCGGGAAGAGAAGATTCTGGAAGACTTGATGGCAAATTTGAGATTGCTTCTGTGTAACTGTGAAAACCCCATGAAACGTTGCTCAATAATGCTAAATAATTAAAAATCAAATATCAGTTTGTTCAGTGTCAGCTGATATTCGATTCTTGCATTTCATGTTAGGGAGGAGGAAGATGCTCTGCTTTCACTTGGCAAGTGGGTCCTGAGAAGTACACTAAGTTCAATAGTGGGTCCCTCTGTCTCCATGAACTGTCAGTTCCATACAGATACTTTAGTTTTTATTGGGTGCTGATAACTTTAATGTATTTAAATGCAATTCTGAATCATGTTAATCATGCAATTCTGAATCATTCAATTCTGAATCATGTTAATCATGTGGGGTCTACAATGATGGTATAAATTAAAGCTGTCTTGGTGTGTTGTCCTAAACAGTGTTAAATAAAAATTCAGTTAAACTTGGCATTTTACGGGGCAGAAGAAGCAAAATCTATAACTAAACAAGAGATGGTTGTCTTTTCAGCTGTGCTTTGAAGAGAGGATTTGCATCATCACTCTATGACGGTTTTTCTTCTTCTTAACTTTCTCACGGAGGCTTCCAGGCACTTTGGGCTTTTTCTGAACTCTGTGCTTTATCTCCATGTTCACAGCTTCTTTCCCACCCTTTGTGCTTAGCATAGGTCAATGTGCACTGGACAGATTTTGTCCCAGTGATACCATAAAGTTTTCAGCATGAGAGCTCAGCTAGTAAACTTGTCTACTCTTTAAGTCCTCGGTGTATGTAGAGCGGGGGCGCGCCGCAACCACGTCACCCGGAAGTGACGCAACCACGTTGGGCACGCCGGGGGTGGGGCCACAATCCTCCCAACGCGGCTGTGTCACTTCTGGGTGACGTGCTGACGCCGGGCACGTTGCATGCTTTGGAGGTGGGGTTCCCCTCCGGGGCCCGATCTGCTGGCGGGGGGTAACGGGCCTCTCGGGCGGGGGTTTCCCCGCCCCCCGGGGGGACTTGGCAAGCCTACTACTCTTACATCTACTGTTATATATCTACTTGTCTAAACTTAGATCTACTCTTGCTCTGATCATTTAACTAGAAGGCAGGCAATTCCTTGTAGATTCATTCTAATGGTTAACTTGCTTCAGTGCTGTGGATTCTATCAATCTGTTTGGTTGATGGCAGAGCCTTCTCTCAGTATGAGGTGCCTTCTAGTGGCAGAACGTGTCTCTTCCGACACCCAGAGCCTGCTTGTGTAAGATGAAGGTGCTGCTGTTAGGGGAGCAAAATCCTAGGAGCAAGCTGCAAGTATTTTGTTCACAGGGAACAATAACACAGCTTTTCTGGTCAGTGGGTTATAGTTCTTGTCTCAAGATTGTTGAACTTGCTGGTAGAATGTGAATATTTCTTTGTATGTCATGAACAGTATCCATGCAGTTCAAAATTAAACATCAAGATATTAATCAAGTTCATATTTCGTTGCAGGATCTTAGGAATTATCAGTATACCTTGCATACAATAGATAACTTATTTATTCATATGGAAATGGGTAGAAGCTGTATTAAAATACCTCTGAACAGATATAATGAGGTAAGTGTAGTTTCTAATGAGGGCCTGGACAGGTGCTACTTTTGCACTTCCTCTGCCTTGCAGTTTCTCTGTCTAGCTCCCCAAGAGTTTACTTGTATCAAAGTAAACCATGTTTAATACAAACTAGTTGCAGACAGAACGTGGGGTTTGAACATTCATATCTTGGGTTAGAAGACTGATTAAAATTAGTACAGACATCAGTAAATTGTGCAAGATCTCTATCCTTCCAGCCATGATAAATGGTTATGCTATAAAGGTTTTCCGTGCTAGAATTATTATTTTTTTGCCTTGAATTGCTGAAAACGTCTTTGCACTGAATTCCTGTTGTGTTGACTCACTGCTTTTGCACTAACTGGCAGACTGGGTCCAGGAGACAGTAAATGCCTCCCAGAACTGGTCACCCCCACCTTGAAGTGAACAGTGATGCACCTGTTCCTAAAGAAACCTGCTGTGAGGCCAGGAGAGTTGAATGACCCTACTGGTCACAGGACTGAAACCGCTTTAGTCACCGTAGTGGGTGACTTCTGCTGGGACATGAATAGGGAAAGTGTGACCCTGTTAATTCTCCTGGACCTCTCAGTGGCTTTTGATGCCATAGATGATGGTATCCTTCTGGTCCACTTTTGGGGGATGGGAGGCACTGTTCTGTGTTGGTTTTATCCGGAGATTTGGGCTGTTGCCAGCAATATGCGGATGACTCTAAGCTCTATATCATACTTCCAGTAGATCCTGGGGAGGCTGTGGAAATCATGAACAGGTGCCTGGAGGCAGTTTTGGGATCTCTGAGGGCTAACAAACTGAAATTTAACCCCAACAAAACAGAGGTGTTGCTGAGATATCTCCTGCTCTGGATAGGGTTGCATTCTCCCTGAATCAGCAAGTTTGTAGCTTGGAGGTGCTGCTGGACATGGGCCTCTGTTTGAGAAACAGGTGGAAGTGGTGGCTGGGGGTGCCTTTTGCTAGCTTCAGCTGGTAAGCCAGCTTGCATCCCTTCCTAGAGGGAAGGATCCTGCCACTGTGGTACACGCCATCTAGATTAGATTTCTGCAGTATTTGGGGCGGTCCTTGAAGACTCTCTGGAAGCTACAGTTGTTACAGTATGCTAGAGTCAGGATGCTGACTGGAGTGAGTTATAGGAATCATATCACTACAGTCTGTTCCATCAACACTGGCTTCCATTTTGCTTCCAGGCCAATTCAAGGTGCTAGTATTGAAAGTTCTATGTGGTTGAGGCCAGCACAATTTAAGTACCATCTTCTCTCATGTGAACCTACCTGTCCTCTCCAGTCATCTTTGGGGACCCTCCTACCTGATGCTAGATGGGTGGCAACTTCTTGGTCATGGCACCAAGACCTTGGAACTCCCTTCCCATGGAGATTCATGTCTACCACTATTGTGTTCTGCCAATGGTTGGAGACTTTTTTGTTTCATTTGACATATCTCCAATAACTGTTACTGTCCCTTCTCCCTGGTTGTGGTGTTACATGGCTAATATGTTTTGAATTATTTATTTTATATATAATATATTTTAAAAGCTCTTTGAATGCTGAAATATTTTGGGGACCCTATTTAAGTGTGACCCTGTTAATTCTCCTGGACCGCTCAGTGGCTTTTGATGCTAGATGATGGTATCCTTCTGGTCCACCTTTGTTGGATGGGAGGCACTACAGTCTGTTCCATCTACACTGGCTTCCATTTTTGCTTCCAGGCCAATTCAAGGTGCTAGTATTGAAAGTTCTATGTGGTTGAGGCCAGCACAATTTAAGTACCATCTTCTCTCATGTGAACCTACCTGTCCTCTCCAGTCATCTTTGGGGACCCTCCTACCTGATGCTAGATGGGTGGCAACTTCTTGGTCATGGCACCAAGACTTTGGAACTCCCTTCCCATGGAGATTCATCTGTCTGCCACTATTGTCTTCTGCCAGTGGTTGGAGACTTTTTTGTTTCATTTAACATACCTCCAATAACTGTTACTGTCCCTTCTCTCTGGTTGTGGTGTTACATGGCTTATATGTTTTGAATTATTTTATATATAATATACTTCAAAACCTCTTTGAATGCTGAAATATTTTGGGGACCCTATTTGGGTGGATAGGTCACATAGTATGTTTTAAATAAGAGCAGAAAGCAGTATTCATACTAGGGATGCAAATGCCCTGCTGAGTTTCTAAAAACATGAATATGGGCGGCTGAGCAAAGTTTGTAGGCCTCATGGTGTCATGATATTGGAGGAAAGTTTAAAAGACTGCTGTGTGTCTTAAATATTTTCCCAAATGGTATACCACAGTATACGGTTAAACATGTGCTCCTGTAGCATTCTGTTATGCCAAATCCATTGTATTGCATGAGAGTGACCTACACTGTACCAGACAGAAATGGCAGTATGGATCTTCTTTAAAAGGGATGTGACTGTGAGGTATTATTATTATTATTTTAACATTTTTACCCCGCCCTCCCCGCAAGCGGGCTCAGGGCGGCTTACAAGAGGGCATTAAGAAATTGATGTAGATGGGTTAAGTGTAGATAAATAATCTGTCTGTAGCAACCTAATTTAAGACTTGGCTAGTGAAATAAAGGAAGGATTTTATATAGGAATTCTTAGTAACATTTCTATAATTGCAGGTGATGAAAGTTATGAATACTTCTAATGAACATGTCATTAGCATTGGAGCGAGTTTTAGTGCTGAAGCAGATTCTCACTTAGTTTGTGTACAGAACAGTGATGGAGTCTATCAGACACAAGCAAACAGTTCGACTGGACAGCCAAGGAAAGGTAAATGTCTTATATTAGTTGATTTTTTAAATTAAAATATTTATATCCTGCCTTTCCTTCTGACTCAAGACAGTTCCAAATCATAATTGAAAGCATTACAATTTAAAAACAAAATAAAACCACAAATGATCGTTCACCTTCCAAGCACATATGCTGCAGATTTTTGTGTCTGGGGTGTGGAGCCCTTTGGCTGACCTGGATGACCCAGGCTAGGCCAGTCTCAGAAGTCAATCAAAGTTGGCTTTCATTTACTTAGCAGATGGGTGTCCACCAAGGAAGTCCAGGGTTGAAATGCAGAGGCAAGCGGTAGCAGCCTGTCTCTGTTCATCTGTTACCTTGAGAACCCTAAGAGGTCACTATCAGCTGTGACTTGACAATAGTTTCCATCACCAGGAAGTAATCACGTTCCTTGTTTCATAACAGAAAATAGACAAATAATCAGTAAGCAGCATTTTCCCACATAGTGTTTTAAATTTGTATCCTGTCTAGTATGTTTGAGCCCTTTATTTTCTTAATGCTGACTGTCAAATTTTTGTTTAACTTGAAATGTAAGACTTGATTTTGATTCTAATTTCTGCAGTGTGTGAGCTGGCACTTCATACACTGATGAGAAATTTTCCCAACCTAGACTTGTTTTTCTACGACAACAGGATTTGTAAGCACTATATGTAGCACAGCATTTAAAATACTTTAAATATAGTGTGGTTGACTGAACTGTGTGTTGTCTGTTTAGTTACAGGGGCAAGCTTTGTCGTGTTCAATGGAGCCCTAAAAACATCTTCTGGATTCCTTGCTAAATCCAGTATTGTTGAAGGTATTGATTGTCATGATTCTAGAACGAAAGTAGTAGTTCAAATTGTGATAATTATTGATACAGGAACCTCTTGTTTGGAGAGGAGGGGTGGAATAAACTTTGATTAATTAACTTATTTATTATACTTGTAGTTCTCCTGTCTTGCCGAGACTCAAAGCAGGTTCCAAAACTAGGAAAACAGTGTGAGAAAGAAAACAGTATAAGATATTGCAAACCAGATAATCCACACAATAAGCAGTGCAGTGAACTACAACCCTGATTCCCTTTATTAAAGCACCCTCCTGAAACACTTCCATTTTACACAGTCTATGGAACAATAAAAGTAATAATAGGTCATTCTAAGCATTTTTCTTCTGTATAGTCCTCATTACTTCTATTGAAACAATGTATACAATTTTAATACAAATCTTAATCAGCTACTTACAGCTTAAGCTCTTTTTGTGTAATGTTTCATCCCTACTTTATTTGTGAAATCTGAGTCATGATAGTTACAAGTGAAAATACTGAATCCTGGGCTTCCGGTTTATGGCGACACACAGGCAGACACATCTCTTGGACATCCCGGGGATGTAAACTGCACACCAGTGTGTGGGAGTGGGTCCGACGTGTCGCGACCCCCCCGGAGCCTTGGTAAAAGGCTCCCAGCCAGGGGGCTTTTGAGGGGCGACCTCTTTGATGGCCGAAAGCAGGAGAATTGAGGCGCCCCTCCGCCCTGAAGGTTCTGCCACTGAATGACCGCATGGTACGAGTGCTGCTGACCGGGACAAGCGTTGGAGATCGGGCGAAATAAATGATGACGAGCGAGGCCGAATGGCCAACAACGAACTGTGAGTCGGGTTGAAGCAAGCATGAAGATATAAAAAGAAGCTGCCCCCCCCAAAGAGTGATGGGAAAGCGAGTGGGGAAGGGATCCCTCCCAAACGCATAGACGAAATACAGAAGGAAAGAGGGGGGAGCGGAAAAATAAGCGACTAAAACTGTTTTAAGAGACTTACCAGAGCGCAGAAAAGCGTTTGGGCAAATATCAGAGACTTTAGCAACTTCTTTGAAAAGTAAACAAATCCAAAAAGATGGCGTGGAAGAAACCGGAGAAAGAGAAGCTGTTGAAATCGAAACTAGGGGCCAGTCCTAGAACGGATGAGGTCACTGAGCTCTCAAAACTCTTGGTTGACTCCCTGCGCCCCTGCTGGACAAGATCACTGGCATTAAACAACAACTGTCAGTAATTGGGCAGAGTGTCTCAGCGCAGCAGATGCAACTGACTCAGTCCTTAAAAGCAACAGAGCAAATGGGAGAGAAGGTGAAGGAAATGGACGTCACTACTAAAAAAGTTAAGAAAAAGGTGCAAAAGCTGGAAATGAAGCAAGCTACAGAAGAGTCAAAGCTTTTACAGCTACAAATGGATAAAGCAAATTTGGTCCTACGGTTTCAAGGGGTCCGGGAAATTGAAGGAGAGAATCTGAAGCAACGGCTGAGTAAAGCAATAGCCCCAATGACAGATTTAACAGCGGAATACCTTTGCAGCGAGATGGATGTGGTCTACAGGTCCTATTCATCGTACATCAAGAAAAATAATCTGCCTGGGGAAATAGTGGTCAGATTCTCAAAGAGACATATGAGAGATGCTATTTTGAAAGCAAATTCGGGAACACCCTTGAAAATTGGGGGCAATAATATCAGGATTTTAAAAGATATTCCATTTGATATAAGACAGAAGAGAAAGAACTATAAAGAATTAATCCTTTTCTTACAAACAAATGGCATCCGTTACAGGTGGTTAACCCCAAAAGGTATCATTTTCAAGCTCAACGATAAAGAAGAAAGGATTGACTCTGTTGAGGATTAGAAAAGATAAGAATAAATAAGGGCTGAAGGACTCTGATTTGTGCCTGAAAAAATGTTGAAATAACTTGGGGATGCTCTGGGAATTTCTTTAAACAGTTAAAGGGATGGTTAAACGATAATTAATCTAGCATAACCGACTAAGTTCATTGTATTATTACTAGCTTTTTGAAAATAGCATGGTGTTAAGCTGATGTATGATCTCCTACTCTTTGGTTTTTAGTTAGTTGTGGGTCTTTTTTCTTTATTCCCTAGATGTACTTCCCTTTCCTCTATTTTCTGTTGTAGTTTGGTAGTCTGAAAAAAAACCCCAATAAAAACCTGCCCCCAGGGGGATGATAAAAAAAAGAAAAGAAAATACTGAATCCTTTTCTGCACATCATTTCTGAAAACGCTTTAGTAGATGTGAGTTTAGGAGTATAAGCTTATTAATGTCTCCTACATAAGCATCATTGAAATAAATTGGAATTAAACAAGAGTTTTTTTGCTTTGTAGCATCCAAATCATAGCGTTATGCACCTGAATCAGTTTTTAAAATTAAACTGTTGCAAAACTTAAGTGTTTTATGTTCAAAAAAATAACTTTTCTTTTACAGATGGATTAATGGTACAGATCACTCCAGAGACGATGGAGGGGTTACGACAAGCTTTAAGGGGGAAAAAGGACTTTAAAATTACATGTGGCAAAGTAGACTCAGGTGATCTGAGAGAATATGTGGACATTTGTTGGGTGCAGAATGAAGAGAAAACAAATATGAGGTATGATGAGTTTTGAGAATTTTGGAGGGCTAAAATGTATAATATTGGGCAACTGATTGAGTAAAACTAATTGGCATTTTATTTAGTATTTACATAATTTTGCGAACTTCTGTTTTCTAGCTTGGTGCTGAGTTTGATGATATATTAGGGATCAAAATCTAGCTTTCCATTGTGCACAAATCTAGATATCTTAAAGAATTTCTGCTGGTAGATTATTCAAAACTACCGCAAGAATATTTGTGCTGTTGTCCTTCTATGAATACTATAAATGCTAAATTAATCTGTAAAATCTGTTGAATAATATTAAATTGAGCAATAAGATTAAAGGCTAGGTCTGTTAAGCAGAGGAGTTGTGCTCCAAAAGGGGGAAAATGATTCCACCTGAACAAGGCTCTTTGCTTAGTGGAAGGGTGGCACAGGATCCCATCCATATTGATTAGTAAAACTGTCACACAGGGAACCTGACTCTAAAAGTGTAGTATTGTAACAGTCCTACATAATGTATACATAACTGGAATATGTTGAATGGGAAAGCAGTTATTGTGAGTTCAGATTTAGCATCCTAGTGCACTAAAGAGATGTGTGTGTGTGCATTTTATTTATACCTCAGTGTTAGAAATGGAGGTGTCCCCTGTTACGCTCCTTATGTCATCCAGTAAGACCTAGGTTGTCATGATAGCTTACCATTGGGTGTAAAAGTGTTGCCGCTGAATGCTAGATAAGTGATGCCAGATGTTTCTCAGCAGTGTCCACCCTGTTTGTTTCTAGTGCAGCATCAGCCAAGACTTTGGTCAGGGAACAGAAGCGGCCATAGTAACTTTGGTTAATATCACCTCTTCACATACTTTGTCAGAGTCTTAGCTTCAAGTGTACCTACCAGATGTTGGGTACATTGGACAGACTGTGGATTTCATTAGTGTACCACCCATCCATTGCCAGAGAGTATCTCTACCTGAACTTGTGGTAATGCTAGCTTTGATATTAAGGACCCAAGGATTTTGATGCTCAGGGACTTCAGCTGCTTTGAAGGAATTCCTGACTATCTTTGGAATTTTGGTTGTCATGACTGAGGCTCAGATCAAAGCCCCAATTCATCAGTGAAATACAAAGATGACTTGGGCAGTTGGTACAGTAGAGGCCAAACATTCTGTCCTCTCTTAAGAGCTTGCTTGGCCTTTTGTTTTTCCGAGAAGCTTGGAAGTATGAAGCAAGCTTATCTTTAGAACCTAAGTAGAGAATAACCCATGACAAGCAGGATTGAACACAGACTAGAGCAAATCTTCATGACTACCCTGTGGTAGTGATGGTGCTGAAGCAGCAGTGTTTCCCTGCAGTCACTGTGTCCGTAACAAAGCTATGCAGTGGAGCCATTCTGTGTAGTGATATGTCATAAGTTGGATCAGTTCAATGCCCACTGTGAATTATTCGCTAGGGATCTGATGGATACAGTTGTCCATATTCACGAGGGCTTAAATACCACTAGTTAGCACATATTCAGAATGTTTACAGACCACAGTCTAGTCATATTGCTTGGATGAGTTTTAGTTCATTATTACAGCTGGAGGATAGGTAATCTGCATGGAGCTCTGCATTTTACCACACACCAGTCCCCAACCCTTGTTACCATGGCTGTCTGCAGGTACTTTGGGAATTTGGAGAAAGGGCCATCATGGAATGGGTCCAAGCACAAAATGGTTGGGATGAATCATTAAAATATTAACGATTTCTGTAGAACATTGGGTTGTTTAAAAATGTAATTGAAATTTTAATTGTAATTTTGCTTTGTACGGTTCCTTGGAAGGTTTATGCAGAGAGTGTGCATGTGTGTGTATATAACCTCAAGCATGTTCACTTTATTATGGCTGTAGTATTCCAAGTGGACAATACAGAAAAATGTAAGCTGTTGTCACAAAATTGCACACTGAGAATGCATATTGTGTATGTCTTGAAGATTTTGACTAAGATTCAAAGAACAGCAGAAGTGGTTGAAGAATCTAAAGGGGCTTGTTTTCTCAAAAGTAGCCCACTCTCTGTGCTGAATAGTGAACTACCGTTTCTAAAGTAGTCTGAAAAACATTTTCTGATATTGCATCAGCTATTCAAAACAAAAACAGTCCAGAATTCCACTGGCCTATTACAAGGCTGGTTACGCAGCTTTTTGGATCCTGGATACTTGATTTAAAAAAATTAAATGATAAATCAGGGTACACTGTGGAACATAACTACTTAATCTGTCACATAAAGTCATGCCCAAAACGTTTTTCACAGTGTATAGAAGAAGAATTGATGTTTGTACCCAACTGGTGCAATTAATGCAGTGTTAATCTTCATAGAATTACAAGTCCAATAGATGGAAAGTCAATGGAAGGAACTCAGAATGAAAAAATAGTTCAAGAAGGAGATTTTGAAATGGATGGAAAACTTATAAAATGTACTGAGGTAAGTAAATGTTGCTTTTTTTGAAAGTAACAAATATTCCCTTAAGATTAAGGAATGCTATTAGAAATATTGTCCTAACCTGGATGTTGGAGGCTGGCCCGATCTCATCAGATCTCAGGAGCTAAGCAGGCTTGGCCCTGCTTAGTATTTGGATGGAAGGCACCCAGAGAAGTCCAGGTTTGTTACACAGAGGCAGGCAATACCAAACTGCCTCTGGATGTCTATTGCCTTGAAAACCCTACAGGGCTGCCATAAGTCAGCTGCAACTTGATGGCACTCTTCAGCACCATTAAAATGTACACTATCTGTTGTATATGTCGTGTACATGCTCTGTCCCCTCATCTACTGTCCCAGTGCTTACAGTTTGTCTGGTGATATTTCTTTCATACAGCTGTAAATATATGTGTGAAACAGCAGGTTCTTTGTCTTTAGCCCAACTAAATTCCAGTTTTCTTCTAATGAGTAATTGGACCGCTAGTATCAGAACTACGTTTTGTTCCCTGCCTTTGTTTTGGAAAGCACAAACACTACTTGGCCTTGAGATCTCAATAGTAAACACATACTTCATCTAGCATTATTTTTACTGATTGAATGTCAGTATTCAGATTTTACTGGCACACATCCTAATACCATAGCACAGTCGTAGTTTCTATGTGTGAAAGGATTCAGGTTAGCAACACTAACAAAGGCCTGGATAACTGTCCCTATGCATGATACCCTACTTTTTCACATCTGCTTTTTCTGCAGGATGTTCCCACAACTTTTACCATGTAATAGGTTCCTTTATCTGTTGGTTATCTCTGTTAAGTGTCTTTTTCTTACCTATCCAAAAGAGCAGGTAATAGGGTAGTGCATAGGTTGGGGTCAGAAACTGGGCAAATCCAAGAACTTTTACAGGATGAAGGTTACATCAGTGCAGAAGCCCAGGTATCAATGTCCCCTCTAAGCTATGGAGCCTTGTGAGCAACAATTCTACTTTGTGAGCTACTAGCATTAAAGTTGTGAGCAGGTGATTTGGCTACTGCATAATTAGTTTGATATGGAGCAATCCTTCCTGAGCTAAGACAAAAATGAGTGAGGCAGAGGCTAAAAAACTGTGAGCTAGCTCACACTAACTCAGCTTAGAGGGAACACTGCCAGGTATCTGTTAGATAGTTACAGAATTCTTGTAGGTCTGTATTCACCCTCCTGTCCTCCCCCTCCCCATCTAGTTTAAATTGGATTTTTATGCTGCACTGTACTTGTTAACGTGTGCTAATAATAGCATGCACATGTATAAGCATATTAGGGAGGTTATGGTCTGGGAGCAAGGAGCCAGTGGTAGCATGCCTTAGTAGAAAAGAGAGCAGCAGTGGAAAATGGTATGTCAAGATGTGTATCTTTAGGATAAGCTACATTTTTAAAAGTAGTTTTTAAAAAGTACTTTAGATTTCATTATACATTTCTCACATCCATATAATCCTTTTACAATTTTTAATTGAACGCCAACACAGTGATTCTTAATGGGATCTGTCCATGAATCAGGGTGGTGGTGTTCATAACTTCAGGGGTCAAATGGGGTAGCGGTCAGAATTTTAGGCAGCCCCTTCCCCCCAGTTGCAGTAACTTCTGCCAGCTAGTGGAGGAAATCTTGGATTTTACCCCCAGGATGGGATAATTCTCTCCCATGGCCTTAAAGCAACAAAGCATATAGGAATCAAATTTAACATTAAGGAGTTGGCTGATAGACATCAGGAATGTATAGGGATCTCATCGAATGTGTGTGAGATTTTTATATCATATGTGTATATGATAAATATACCTATATAAGTGAAGTTATTTCATCCAGAGATCTGTTTTTATGTCCTTATTTGTTTACTTGGAGGTATTCTATTATGAAGTTGCCTATTTGGAGGGCAGTAGTGAGTTAAAGGTTAAGAACCACTGATCCGGTATATCTCTCACTGAGCACTGCTTAAGGGATGTTATGCTGTTGCAGTAATTGTCTTGCTAACTTGGGGGGGGTAGCCTACCACTGCTGACTATTCATTAATTACATTTCAGGTGTTCTATCTCGTAAAGGCTAGTGAACTGTGCAGCCATCCTCCTTACCAATTTGCTAAAGAAATTGCATTGGCTTGCTGTGCTGCTCTTTGCCATCATCTCAAAACACTGAAAAATAATGGAATGAACAAGATAGGTCTTCGAGTCTCCATGGATACTGACATGGTAACTGCTAAAATGATACAGTTATACATCAGCATGGTGGATAATATAAAGCCCATTTGGATTGTAAGTTGCCATTTAGAGGTGAAAGGAAAGGAGTTCAGCAGTGCTACTAACAGCTTGAGAGCTGTTCAGCTTCCAGGTGGGCCAGCCCCTCTGCCAACTCCCAAGGGCTAGTTAGGTGTGTTTAACTTGAGGAAAGGCAATAGGAAATGCCAGACCATATACCATTATCTCCTAACTGTTGTGCTTAAATCTTGGGGTTTTTTGTAAATTGTTTTTCATTTAGGAAAAGTGACATACACATGTCTTTAATGAAGTCAAATTCAGTTCTCCTTATAAAATGAACTCACAACATAATCATGGGGAGAAAATTAGCCTTCAGTTTTTGACTCGTTATACATTGTGTACCTCATGCATTGTCTGCCTAGTATTGTGTAGCAGTTGTTGTCACCTCAGCATATACCTTATTTCATCCATAAGTGGACAAAACAACCTAACCATTCGCAGGGGATGATAGCAAATACTGGGAGTTTACTTCCCTGGCCTTCCCTGTTGTCAGTCGCTACAAATTGCTGCAGGAGAAATTAGTGGGACTACCTAACACCATTCCTTAGCCAGCGACACAACAGCTGCTGGGGGGCTGTGATGCCTCTAAACAAGTTCTTGATCTTTGAGGAAAGACACAGGCTCTCCTCAGTTGCAGCTGTCATCTGCTGTGTTGCAGATCTGCATTACTGTCTGCCAGCTGCCTGAAAAGCTTTTTCTGTGACACACAGTAATATGCTTTTTTAAAACTCCTTTTCCTTGTCCAGTTTTTTTTTCTTTTTAAAATGTTAAACTGTCATTGTAAATGGCTTAAACCGTTAAGATCAGAATACACATCAGAATAAGCAATGGCATGTTTTTTTTCATTTTTAGGTGGAATACCAGGCAGGCTCTGGAGGCCAGCTTTTGCCTCAGCATTATCTGAATGATCTGGACAGTGCTTTGATTCCTGTGATCCATGGTGGGACATCAGATGCCACAAAACTACCACTGGAAATTGAATTGATATTTTTTATTACCGAATCTCTCATGATGTAATTGATATGTATATCATGCTGTAGTGGACTGAATTGCTAGCACTGACCAATACCAAAGCAGTTGCATTACACTATGGTTGAAACATTCAGGTTTATCTTTTAAAAAGCCAATGATTTAGTAATACATCTTTAAGAGAGTATTTTGCTTTTTAAAAAGCAAATATGTTCTTCTTTAACCTCAACCTGAAAGCTGAATTTAAAAACATAGGGTTTTGTAGTGTTCTGAAACTTTACACTTAATACAGACACTGTAAAAGTAAAACAAGCATGTGTAACAATATTGAAGGATACCCATATCTGTCTTTCTGTAATAAGTGTTTATGATTGATGCAAATCTCATGTTGATTTCATCCGATTGAGCCATTCTTAGGTAATGTATCATTTCCCCCAGGATGAGCATATTTAAGTTAAGAAGAGTTTCTAAGTCTTGCAGTTGAGATTTAAATATTGAATCTGTTAATTACTAAAGAACAGGCATATTTTAAATGTCTGATAGTTTGCACAACTGTTTTGCCTGTATGAGAGAAACAGAACATGTTTCTGCCAGGTGTGATAATTTTGTAAGACTTCATATTTGCAACTGTCTTGATTTTAAATACATCAGGACATTTGAAGTATATAATGGTGCTTCAGAATCTTAAACAGTGCCCATCTAATCACTCTTTGAGTAGCTAACTTTGTTATATATTTATAACAGATTTGTTGAACATAAGGATACTCTTTGTATTAAATACATAGTCTTTTTTTCCTTCTGTGCTCTGATATACAATTGTTTCTTGGATTTTCCAAGAATAAGTAACAAGCTAGATGACCCTTAAAGTAGTCATCCTGTAGCAATGAATCAGGCATAAAGCCTGTCTGTGCTCTCTTCTCTAATTTTTGAGAATTTTCTCTTGGTAGCCCTGTTTATTTTTAGAGAGAGCAATGTATTAAGTGTGAATTTTCATGAACTTTGCTGTAACATACTTGAGGTTCTTTATACTGTACTTATTTTTATACTGGGGATATTTGCAGTAAAAAAGCATTTATGTAAAGGAAAATTATTGAAATTAGTACCTAATTAACCTAAAGTTTGATAAATTGCTTAATTTGTTTTAGACAGAAGCAAATCATGTGTGTGATTTCTTTCATTAAAATGTTATAATATTTTACTGTGACGTTAGTATGTTTTAATCTCTAGATGCCTTTCTGATAGTCATAGGGCATATTTATCCAAAATACATCAAACTAAAAATAAATGCATATCTAAAACACTTGACTGCACTTTTTTAGGATAGTGTAGGTATTTAGCAGATTGAAGAGAAGATTTTGTCCAAGAATTATCACCAAGTCAAAGCATTCTTTTATATTAAGAACTATAATTCTGTGGACCAACTAAGGATTACTATAACACTCTGCAAAAACTCCATACCTAAGTGCTGGATATTGGTGAATAGAGGAAGGCAGCTGCAGCAAAGAACGTTAAGAGTTGACCCATGATAAATAATTATGGCTTGTACAACATACTGTATAGAAGCAATTTTAACCCATTTTGACATAACACGTTTATGTGATCTTGGAAACTGATAATTTCAGTTTATAGATAACAGCACTACACTGTTTTAGTACAGTGTTATAAAGATGATTAGAATCCTTACAAATGTATAAATATTAATTTTTTTATAAATAAAGCTGGCAAGTGCTTAACAATGAGACAACTTTTACAAGGTCTTGATAGATCACCTGAATTTAAAAAAAAATCATTTTAGCGTCTGATATCATTTGTACCATCATCCTATCAACTGTTTCAAGTTTCCAAAAAGTAAGCATAAAAGATCTTTTTAAAAGGTGAACAAATGTTATGGCTTCTGATTTACTTCTGTGCCCATTTTAAACTGCTGATGTTGACCTTTCAGTCCTATACAGCTTGGGACTTACATTCCTTGAAGACTGCCTACTCCTATATGAACCTTTCTTCAGGGACCTTGCTTTGGTGCCCCATCAGAGGTTAGACGGTTGGCAACCTGAAATTTGTCTGTCCCCCCCTCTCACTCTTTTTCTGCCAGTGGGTGAAGACTTTTTAATTTTGTCTGGTGTTCCTTGGTTAGCCCTCTTCCTTGTTTGTTTTAATCATTGTTTATATACTGTTAGCCAAGTGTGGCCACCATCTGCAGATATCTAAATCAGCAGATCGGGCCACCTGGAGGCTAAAGAGATTCTTCTGCAAACTTGGGGCACCCCCATAGATTTGTAGAAAAATCTTCAATCAAATACACAGGGGGATTCACATTCCCCCAAAAGTAAAACAGAATTTTCTGCAGTGGTGGCAAAGCATCCTGTGGCATCCCAGGCCCAGTGGAGGTGGCGAAGCAGGCCTGGGGCTGCCCTGGGACCAGAGGTGGCTGCAGGAGAACCCAAGAGCCACACCAGTGAGAAAGTGGGAGGGGAGATGGGATGCGATTCCCCCCTTGCGAGTTCCACAGGATCCTGGGCCCTCTCTGTAGGAGTCTCAATGGTGATGGTGGGAGGGGGCCACAGAGGGTGAAGCCAGGAGCTGTGCCAGGCTCCCTAGCTTAAACTGTGATGGTGAGAAGGGCCCTGGGAGTTGCTGCTCGCCCAGTGGTAGGGGTTGGGGGTTGGGGTCACAGAGGTCTGGCAGCAGAAGCTTTGATGGCAGAGGGGCTTCAGGAGCCACTGGCCTGGCAGCAAAGGCCTGGAGCCACACTGGGCAGTCCAACGTTGATGTTGGGGGATGGTTGGGAGGTGGGAGTGCAGAGACCCAACTGCAACAGCGGGATGGCAAGGAGCCATGATACAGGGGCAACCCCTTCCCTCCCTTAGCTGGCAGTGACTGGGAGGAATAAAGAGGGGGAAGGGATCCCCACTTCAAGTATTGAAGATCCCCACTTAAATCTCCCCCAAAGCACAAGGAGGTAGGTGAGAATGCTGGAGCCATTGTGGGAGGCCAGGAGCATCTGTACTGCTGTTGGTGTGTTTTTTGGGGGGAGCTGTCAAGTGGGCAAGCAGGTGGCCGGGAGCATCGGTGCTGTGGCGGGGTGGTGGTGGTAGAAGGTGCCAGGCAGGTGGCCAGGAGAGCTGGTGGTGCTGTTGAGGCAAGATGAAAGAGTGATGAAGTCGAGGAGGCAGAAACAGAAAGGAAGTGTGACAGTAGGCATACAGAACTGAGATGGAAAGTAAGAGGGAAGATGAAAGAGAAGAGAGAGACTGAGAGAATTGGGGTATGAGGGAGGAAGCAAAAGTAGGGGGAATGAGATGGTTGCTCCCGCAAGTTTCTTGCCGGTCCCCACTTGTATGTCCTTTTTTTTTTATGTCTTAACCATTTCCTGCTTTAAGAGCTGCAAATGTTTTAAATTTAAATAAGTGAAAGCTTTTCGTTCTAAATATTAACAAAATAGACATTCTATGCAAAATCTCTAGCTTTGTCTGTCTTTAAGGCTCATCTGAGCAAAATAAAGGTGAAAAGTACTGGGTTCGCCGCATGGAGGACTCGGACCACGACATACTGTAGCACACGTTTATTGTACTTCACATAACAAAGACTAACTCAAACGGCCAACAGGGCCAACTATATACATATCCACCAGCAAACCCCCCACTCCCATTGGAGGTTTTGAATGTCCCACCAAGGTGGCTATTGGTTGGGGCTGGGGGATCCAGGATCCAAAGTTTCCATTGTTCTAGGACCCAAGCTTTGGCTTTTCCGCGGACCCCTGGTGGCGGTCCACGTACATAACAAAAGGACTGGTTTAACATTGGTTAACATTAACATGTAACACTTCATTATTGAATTGAACTGCTACTCAGAGTGCACATACACACCTTCAGAGGAAAAGGCTTTAATGATTAATTGGGATTGAACCCCAAAAAGCCAAGTAAATTGTTCAATAAAAGTTTAATTTTGTCTTTATTTATTTATTGGATTTCTACCCCATCCTTCCCGCTGTAGCAGGCTCAGGGCAGCTTACACAAACACTACACAGCTAAAACAGAACTAAGTAAAATCATGACAATATAAATAAAAACATTACAAAGTGCTAGTGCTAAAAACAGTTCATATACAGCGGCAGGCATGAACAGCATCCAGCAAGCAGTCAGTCAGTTCACATTGTGGTCTGGGTTATATCAGCTGTTGATGTTGATATAAATGTTAATATTGGGGCCAGGGCCTTGATTGTATAATGCGGCTCCCTAGTCGAAGGCCTGGTGGAAGAGCTCTGTCTTGCAGGCCCTGCAGAACTGTGAAAGGTCCTACAGGGCCCTGATGTCTTCTGGGAGCTCATTCCACCAGTGTGGAGCCACCACTGAAAATGCCCTGGCCCTCGTCACAGCCAGCCTGGCTTCTCCAGGACCCGGGAGGGCCAGATGGTTTTGGGACCCTGATCATAGAGCTCTCTGGGGAACATGTGGGGAGAGGTGGTCCCTTAGGTATGCAGGTCCCTGACAATATAGGGCTTTCCCTTCCCCTCCCCACAACAGATACCCTGTGAGGTAGGTGGGGCTGAGAGAGCTCTGCCAGAATCTCCACCTCCTGGAAGTTCCAGGTCCCCGAGAGATTAAGTTTGCCCCTACTAGGGCCAGGGCTTTTTCGGTGGCGGCTCCTACCTGGTGGAACGAGCTCCCAGAGGAGATCCGGGCTCTGCGGGACCTTATGCAGTTCTGCAGGGCCTGCAAGACGGAGCTCTTCCGCCAGGTGTTCGAGTAGGAGCCACCACCGCCACTATCCTACCACCGAGGTACTGTGTCATCGGCTGCCCTACTAAAGGGGGGCAGGCATGGCCTGGCAGAACAACGTAGCGGGAGACCACGCTACTGAGATAGCTGGCTGCCAAATTTGGGTGGTTGTTCCCATCTTGGAAGATTTATATATGTTCAGCACCGTGTTATAGGATGATTTTTACTGTTGTTTTAAATATTGTATTCTATTATATGTTTTATTGTAATTTATACCTCGGCTTTGCCGCATGTGAGCCGCCCTGAGCCTTTGGGAGGGCGGGATATAAATCAAATAAATAAATAAAGGTAAGAACCAGCACCTTGAACTGGATTCAGTATGCTATAAGCAGCCAGTGCAGTGCTTTTAACGCAGGCCGGATGTGCTCCTGCATAGAGAGGCTCAGCAACACCCTGGCCGCCACATTCTGCACCAGCTGCAGCTTCCGGATCCGGGACAAGGCCAGCCTCATGTAGAGAGCATTACAGTAATTGAGTCTCGAGGTGACCACTGCATGGATCTTGTGTTTAATGCTGGTGTAATTTGCATGGGTTTAGCTTTACACAGAATTAGATTAGTACAATTTAGGTTTTAATAAGATCAGATTACAAATTTTCACAATATTATTCAACGATGGTTAGCATAGAGGTTTGTCCCTTGTAACAAAGGTGTACTTTGACATACAGATTTCGATCTCTAATTCTAAGCCTGCTTACTGGAAATCTCACTGCCATCAGCACAATTAAGCATGTGTCCTCTGTTTTACTTGAGCTCTGACCTGGTTTAAACTTGACACTGGTAAGTAAAAAAAACGCACAAGTCTTTGCATTAACACAGTGTCTCCCCCAGGCAAAGCAGCTAAGCATGTGGAGCCTAAGTGGATGTTGTGCTGGTGAGTGTACTAAGCATGTGTAGCTGCCTTAACCATTGTAGCAGCCTGCTGTGTGAGAGCAAGGTCCTGAATATAACTGCTTATGCCTCAGTGGTTATCACATTTAAAACAGCAGAAGATTGAGATAGTGGAGCAGGCTGTGTCCCTTTGAACTGCAGGTGGGGAGTCACATTTTTAATACTTTATTGCAGAAACTCCCTGCACTATCTAACTCTTTGCATGGGGTACTGGCTATCTTTTTACAAGTAGACACTGCATGGGAACTTTGAAAAATTCCTTAGCAGCAGCCTGAAGTGGTGTGTTTCATTGGAAAATGTCATTAAGCTGCAGCTGATTTAACTGGTGACCTGGTAAGGTTTTCAAGGCAAGAGATGAACACAGGTGGTTTGCTGTTGTCTGCCACTGCATAGCAACCGTGGACTCCTTGGTGGTCTCCCCTTCAAGTACAAACCAGGGCCAACCCTGCTTAGCTTCTGGGATCTGATGGGATCAGGCTAGCCTGGGCTGTCCAAGGCATTTAATTACAGCACCTCCTTTCTCTTCAACTGTAAACAAATGCCAAATGGCTGCTGCCCACTTCCTTTACTATGTTCCTAGACCCCTTAATGTTTTGTGTTCCTTCTTGAAATCTCTCCACAGTCATTTCTCAGTTTGTCACATTTCATTTTGCTAATATCTAGTTCTTAGGCACGTCTCACGTCAGCTTTGTGTTTTTTACTCCTTACACTTCAGACTCACTGCTGTTCTGATTATTTAGGTGTTTGTCTCCTCTCTTCCACCAAACTGCTTTTCCTTCTTCCAGGATGGTCCTTAGGACTGGAACAGTCAGCTCTTTGGTGTCTTAGAACTCTGCTCATGAGACTTCCATGGACCTTACTAGGCTGTGTCCACACATCACTGGCAGTTGATCAATAATTTGCAACTGGATTTTCCTGAACGAGACAATTCAGTTGCAAATGGTTGCTACACTGCAATGATAGGCTATATCAATATATAAAGGGATACTGTGTTTTGTATGTCAGATTTTATTGTCGTGTCATTTATTACATCGTGTCATCGATGCAACGAACATGAAATTGAGCCAGCTTCAGAGGACGGCGGAAGACAGGAGGGCCTGGCGGGAGCTGGTCCATGGGGTCGCGAAGAGTCGGACTCGACTGTGCGACTGAACAACAACATTTATTACCTGCTAACCTTCATCCTTGCTGTATTCCTTTCTTTCTGTAGTATTTAATCTGTGAGAGCATGTGGTAGAGGTTGTTTGTATGGTCTTAGGCAATTAAACTATTCCGGCTTTGTTAGTGGAAAGGCTCAGTCCCTCCTAAAGTCGATGGCCCAATGTGTGTTGTCTATGAATCTTACAGGCAGGAGAACAAGGAAGAGTGACACATACAATTAAATGTTACAGTTGATTTGAAAAGTGGACAGAGGAAGTCATTGTTGTGACCCCACCCTGCTCTCTTCAGTACCACTGCCACCTCAGGCATGTTAGAACAAAAGAGCAAATCTGAGCTGACAATTCCACTTACAACCAACATGCCCTCTCAAATCAACATCAGTTTGTGGGTCTGATTCTGGACTGGCCATAAAGGCTCCCATAAAATTCCACTGGGCCAATGGCCAGGGGGCCCAAGAGATGTACCAGAATTACAACTCTTGTCCAGATAACAGGGATCAGCTCCCATGGAGAAAATGGTTGCTTTGGAGGCTGAAGTCTATGGCTTCTATCCTTCCCCTCCCCAAATCCTGCCCTTCCCTAGCTCCACCCCCAAATCTCCAGGAATTTCCCAACTTGGAGTTGGCAACCATACAACATGAAGCAACACTAATCTCCCTTTATCCCTCTGGGGATGACTCACCCCTGGTGAGTTAACACTAATTTCCCCTTGCCCTTTGCGGCCAGCAAGGCTGTCTCTATCTGGGACAATCTCTCCCTTCTGGGATCATCTTGAGTTTCTGTATTGATTTCTTGGTGGTTGTAAAGTACTGGGTTCACCGCATGGAAGACCCGGACCACGACATACTTCAGACGCGTTTATTGTACTTCACAACAGGACTAACTCCCAACGGCCCTGCAAGGCCAACTATATACACACCACCCGGCACCTAGGGTCCCATTGGAGGGTTTGAATTTCCCGCCAAGGTTCTATTGGTGGACTCGAGGTGGACTAGGATCCGAGGTCCCCTTTGTGTTTGGGGACCAAGCTCATGCTTTAGCCGCGGACCCCTAGTGGCAGTCCGCATACATAACAGTGGTATATCCATAAACTGCACCAAGCTTTATTGTTCTGAAAACCCTAATGGAAGGATGGCCATCATTTCCATCCTGGAATCCAGCAGATTTGTTTCCTTGGTAGCTAGCTGTGCTTTTAACAAAGGCAATGTGATCAGACTATGCCCCAGACTGAGAAAAGTCTGTACTGGACTGATAAAAATGCACCCACTTACTCAAGGTCCAATTATCTGTGCAGTAGTAAGCATCAAAATATCTTTGTTTTCCTGTAACTGATCATTAAAAGTTCTTTGTGACCATAACTACCGAATCCCAATTAAGCTCTTTCAGACCTGCGTTAATTGAAATAAGAGAAAGAGGTCAAGCAGTCAGAGGATGGTTTCCTTATTTGGATGGATAAAAAACAAGGATGTCACTTTCAAATCTCCATCATCACCTCATTTCTGTAGAGAACAAACAACCCGCAGGCTAAAGCGCGCCCTTGTATTGCTTGGAAAGGCTTCAGTGAGTTCTTGGCTGGTCTCTTTAGTCAGAAGCAGGAGAGCTTCTGGGTACTTTTTATTTTAAAGGGGCCGTGCCACATGAGAAACAAGCTACCTCTTCGGGCTTGGTAAGAGTGACTCGACTGGCCTCGCCCTGCCAGCTGTGCCTCCTTTCGTAGCGCTGCAAGGGACGGGAGCGGCCAGGAAGGGGTGTAGCTCTTTTGTCTCGGGGGTTTCGCCTTCCCAGCCAGGCTTTGCCCGTCCTTGCTAACTCCGGCCTTTGCTGGCTTCATCGCATTTTACAAGACTCTGACTCCTTCGCGGGTCGGCTATGGCCGGGGCCGAGCAGGGTAAGCGCTGTGCCCCGCCCCTCGTGGCGAATGTGACGTGCAGGGCGGGGAGACCGACTCTTCCTCCGCCCCCTCCGCAGGTTGGAAGCGGACCCCTCTGAGGGGATAGTAGTTGCGCGGTGGGTCTTCTTTGAAAGAAGGGAGGGAAATTTCTTCCAAAAAGAGGCGCGAGTTCAGCGAGAGGAAGACTAATTTGACTGACGTCAAGCTGGGTGTATGTCTTTGTTCTGTATTTATTTTTTTTTTAAAAAGGTTCGGTGGTTTCCGTGGGTGTGTGTATCCTGCTAAAGATGCACCCGTAGCCCAGAATAAAAATGGTAAATAGCAGGGCAGCCTTCCTGAAATGGGAAAAGATACCTTACATGGGGTTTTCGCATTTTACAGGGTTTTGTTTTAAAAAAAAAACAAAAAAAAAACCAACCAACCAAACACAACCATCCATCTGTATCAATCGTGTCAACTGAGGCGGATGTTTATTATGAGACTTGATCTGCGGTAGAGCCAGAATATTTTTAGGTGGGGTAGCCGTGTTGGTCTGAAGCGGCAGAACAAAGTTTGAGTCCAGTGGCACCTTTAAAGACCAACAACGTTTTATTCGAGGTATAAGCTTTTGTGGACTCAAATTTGTGTCCAGGATATTTTTGCCAGGGAGGTCATGGCAGCGATATATGGCTTTTCCTACTTTTTTAGTCTCAAAACTATCCAGCCATTTAAGCAAAGTGGGTAACAAGGGCTACCTGACAAACTGAATGATTGAACAGGAACTTGAACGTAATTATTTAACACATTTTTATTCAGGCCTTTGTCCAAGAAGCTCAGGGGAGCCTGCATTGTCCCCGAGGCCTCCATGTGATCCTCAAAACAATGCTATTAAACTAGGCTAGGCTAAGAAAGAATGTAACCCAAGGCCCAAGGTAACCCAGCAAGCTTCACGCTACAGTTGGGATTTGAACCTGCATCTTCCAGAACCTAGTCCAGCCATCTGGTTGTTACATCACATTGATGCTTAATAATTTGGTTAACACACTTCACTGGTTTAAGATGGCTGTAGTTCATGAATTTTGATGCCACCATAAGGGTACTCCTTTGGGGGGGGGGCTTTGCAACAGGCTGATGCTGCCATTGCTCTGGAATTTATATGTAGTGGCTCCAAATGTATTTTGAGTAAAGGTTGTTCATCAGTTACAATATATTAAGAACATAAGAGACGCCAATGTTGGATCAGGCCAAAGGCCCATCCAGTCCAACACTTTGTCACACAGTGGCCAAAAATACCAGGTGCCATCAGGAGGTCCACCAGTGAGGCCAGGACATTAGAAGCCCTCCCACTGTTGGCCCCGCAAGCACCAAGAAGACAGAGCATCACTTGCCCCAGAGTCCCTATCTATACCTTGTGGCTAATAGCCACTGATGGACCTCTGCTCCATATGCTTATCTAATTCCCTTTTGAAGCCATCCATGCTTGTAGCCGCCACCACTTCCTGTGGCAGGGAATTCCATGTGTTAATCACTCTTTGGGTGAAGAAGTACTTCCTTTTATCCGTTCTAACCCGACCGCTCAGCAATTTCATGGAGTGCCCACGAGTTCTTGTATTGTGAGAAAGGGAGAAAAGTACCTCTTTCTCTACCAGCTCTATCCCATGCATAATCTTATAAACCTCAATCATGTCACCCCTCAGTCGTCGTTTCTCCAAGCTAAAGAGCCCTAAGCGCTTTAACCTTTCCTCATAAGGAAAGTGTTCCAACCCTTTTATCATTCGAGTTGCCCTTTTCTGCACTTTTTCCAAAGCTATAATATCCTTTTTAAGGTGTGGTGACCAGAACTGCACACAGAACTGCACACAGTATTCCACAGTCTGTCCCCACTGCTCAACCACTCTTACAGTTAGGAAGTTTCTCCTGATATTTAGCCGGTAATGACCCCGTTGTAATTTCCACCCATTAGATCTAGTCTTGCAATCCGGAGCAAGAGAGGAGATTTGGGGGTAGAGTCTAGAGAGGGATCTCAGCTGGGGACAGTGCTATAGCAAAGCAGATATTTTCTCCAGCGGAACTGGTATCTGTAATCAGTTGTAATTCCAGGAAATCTCTATGCCCCACCTGGAGGTTGGCAACCCTAACTCTACCTGGGGTCTTGGAAAGCCACTGACAGAGAATTCTCACCTTGATAGTCTAACTCAACATAATAGCTCAACTGTGTGGCCTACTTGTATTTACAGTGTAACTTCTGAAGTGGGGACTCACTGAAAGATTAGAATTATACAAAATGCAGTTTTTCTACAGAAAAGTAGACCTTACTTCATACTACAGTGGTGGTTTGAATCTGGGTATCTGAGAACCTAGTCAAGTCATCTAACCACTAGGTTACATCGGTGCTTAATTGTTTGACTTAATCGGACACACTTCACATATCTGGTTAAATTGGCGATGTTCAAGTTCCCACTTCAGATATTAGTTGAAACAGATACATACACACAAAACAGAAGAACTGAATATCTTTAGAAATATAAAATCCCTACCAACTATAGGTGGTAAGTGATTGTAGATAGCCATATTAGTCTGCAGAAACATTTTTAAAGCAAAAGTTTTAAAAGTTGTGTAATAATATTTAATATGACCAAAATTTAGCAGAATAGTGTGAATGTTTTTGCATTATCCAGAACTCTTTACTAGGCCCTGTACAAGTAAAGGGAAGGGAAGTGAAACAAAAAGTTATTTCAGGGTGCTGTAGAAATACCCCAATACTGCAGTTTGTAGAGTCTTCAAAAGGAAAGCAGGAGGATACATTGCAGATTTACAGCATATATCCTAAAAAGAGACACACCCCTTTAATCTCAGAAGGGTTTAATTCTTTTTAGGACTACACTCGGTTAGGTGGTGTTGGATACAGAACAGTTTTGCATGTTGAATCAAAGGCTGCTGGCACAAAAAAGAAAAAAAACAACCTTTCTCTTTTTGTAAATATAAAAGGCAGCTGTTTGTCAAGTCTCTGTCCAGCACTAATTGAGACACAAAAGTACTTTGAAAGGTAGGGCACAAAAAAATTGTGATACTTTACATTAATAGAGGCAGAGCTCAATTTGTAATATTCCACTTGGTAAAGAGTCAGTGAAAATCAAATTGGGTAATATAGCCAGTTGGTAAGATAGCCAATTACTGGTTTAAGGCCAGTAATAAATAGAATGCCATTTGAAGAGCTTGTCCCCATTAACTTGAACTATCACTTTCTTTGATGGGTATATTTAATATTTTACAAAACTGACAGAAATTGAAGGTAGACATATTGGTTCCCAGAAAAATAACTAACAAGATGGATAATCCTTCAATTAGAGGACTGGATACAGAGAAATGTTTGGCCAGACATCCAAAAGACAGCAAAGTAGGTGCCACTGCCAGGCTCAAGGGGGAGAGCATTCTGAAGGTGAGACACCACCACAGGAAAAAGGCCATCTCTGGTTGCCAGCTACCTTAGCTTGACAGAGGCACAGAGAGCAGGAAGGTCTTAAGTGGTTGGCTGGACGGTACAGGAAGAGGTCGACATGGTAAAAAGTCCTAAGTCTTCAGCATGTAATGGAATACAAGATTTATTTCTTTAAAACATTTCAGTAATGATCCACCCAATTCAGGGTCCCCAATGCTGTTAGACATTGTTATTTAGGAAAATCATTACATTTGCTAGTTTAGAACTATAGAGAAGAAATCTGAGCATTTAATAAAGATGCCTTTATAGCTTTAGTTTTATGAGTTCTTCATGTCAAAATGTGCACGCAAATTACTGACTTGCCTTTCCAGAGTTTTTGATCGCAACAATATTTCCTTTGTTAATGGGATTTTGCAAGAGAATACATATAGAAAACGTTTTCCAACAGGGAGATGCTAATTGGAATATGGTAGCTGATTTTTTACTTTGGTAATGCTGAAAAACTAGAATAATCTGTTTGAAATAGATGAAAGGGTAGTATAATGAGAGATGAGGTTTGTAAGAACAACCCACACAAGATGAATGTTGTACACTTCCACTTCAGTATAACAGAGCTTATTGTTAAAATTTTTCTCCTTAAGGCTTGAAGGCTGTTCTGTACTGAAATTAAACTGTACATATCTGTTGGTGTACTTGCACAGTGATTTAACACTGGCAGCAATCACCTTATTGTGGAAAAGGGGAGAGATAGAGATGTAAAATTTCCAGGAATTTTGAAGCTTGGAAAACCCCCCAGCTTTTTCCTTTTTTTTTCGGGGGGGGGGGGACATAAATTTTTGGGAAAATTTAAAAAAAATGCTACACTAGCACTTTTTTTTTCTTTTCCAGATTGAAAGTCATTCTGTTACTTTAGGAACATAAAATATGACTATGGACATTTTACTTGGCATGAAATTATCACAACTAGCATATTAAAAATATAGTGTATCCAAACAATTATTACAAACAGAATTTACTTTTAAAATAATATTTATTTGTAATTGTAACAAATGGAGTAACAATCTCCTGAACTGTTTACTAGTTTATGTGGAACAGACAAAAAAACCTCCAAAAAACAATTTTTAAAAATCCAGAAGTAGCAATTATTCATATTTTCCCTCCACAGTATTAAATAAAAATAAAAAAACCCATTCTCATAAAAAGAATTGAAGAGGGGGGAAGTGTATAGAAGGGATTTGGAAGGGATTTAGAAATGATTTGTAAAAAATTTGAACACCTTGTCTTAAAATATTTTATTCATCATGTTAAAATAAAACGTTCCATAATCAGGTTTTTTTCCCTTTTATTTTATTTTTTCAATTTTTCCAATTTTTCAGAAAAAAACAAAAAAAGTCTTCAGGGGGGGGAAACGGAAAAAACCCACCTTTTTCCCTGAATTTTTCCAGGTTTTTTCCGGGCCTTCACATCTCTAGGCAGAGATAGCCTTCTGTAGGGAGGATATTTATGTTGTTGTTAGGTAAGAGCTCCCATAATGTAATGTTCTTCCATGAGAAAGTATTCATACATACAGAAGACTCGTATGTCTGGAGAAAGAATAGACAATAATCCTGGTTCATGATGTCTAGCTTTCTGTGTGCAGGTTGGGGTTTTTATTGTGTTTTTTTTTGTATAGAGCATTCAGTCATGTGAGTATTCACTTGCAGTGTAAAGTAGCATGGTCTGACACACGTTTACTAGCTCAGCTGCTATTCGTGAGAACTAGTTACAGTACCATTCTATCGCATCTAAATTCACTGAAATAAAAGACTGGAGTAATTCTCTGACTCAGAATTTTTATTTACATTCTGCATTTGTATGATTGGGATATTTAGGTTCCACTTTTCATTTTTTTGTTCCAGACTTCACCATCTTGTAAATAATAGCTCTTTCATTTGGACAATACTGTTAGAAGGGGTTGTTACAGTTTTATTTATGGCACTAGTATATTCTCCCTCTGAGGTGGAGGACATCTTGTGGGTGATTCCCAGCCATCACTTAGGGAGGCAGGACTAATTTCAATTACTTCCTGTTTCCTGTAGTGGGAGTCACCCTAGGCTCAGTTCTTTTCCTGCCTCAGAAGGGAGAGCAGCTAGGTGTAGGCTCTGCCTAACCCTAACTTTCTGAGTTAACTTACTTTCACTTTCTCCTTCCATCTTTGCTGTTCCCTTTCTCTGAAGAAACTTTTAAAAAATCATTTTCTTCTTCTTTCTTATATGTTATCCTCTTTTCTCCCCCCCTTTGGAGGTTGAGCATTGCCGGGCCAGTTGTTCTCTTAATGGGAGGGGATCTCACAGACCACCTTCCATGGCATTAAGAGAGGATAGCAATGGATTTCTCTCCACTCCGGAGATAGAGGGCGTGGCGGTGGCCGACGCTCAACCAGCAGAGCAAGGTGAGGATGGCATTCCAAAGCGCGCCATACAGCTGCACACCCCTGCAGCATTTACGGAGTCCGCACCAGCCTCAGCGGCCATTTTGGAGTCCACTATGCTTTAAGACGGGAATGGCGAGCAGAGCCTAACATGGCGCACCCCGAGACCTATGGTTCAATGGGGTTCATCAAGCTAGGCGTGATTGTGCCGATAATGCTCAAGGGGACGAGGAAGATGACGAGTTGCAGAGCGGTAATATTGGCAATCCCAGGTCTGTCCCCTTATTTCCAAATGTTCTTTATAAGAGTCATGGGGGAGGAAATAGCACATTTCTGCAGATCAGGGGGCCATGGGGCTGCTATATCCACCTCCCCCTTCTCCTCTCCTTGGAGGCACAAGAACAGAGTCAGCTGTCCCACCAAAGCTGCACAAACAGGGTTCCCCAAGGAGCACTGCCTATTTGATCCGCCTTCATGTGAGAGGGATAGCCTCTCACATGTCTCTGGTGAGAAGGAGGGGGGGATTTTCATGTAATGACAGTGAATAGGGGGAAATGATTGTCTCAGACCAGTCCTTTAGATATTTCTTTTTTGTTGTTGTACCCATTAGGTACACTTTTATTATTTTTCATATTATACACAAACATACATACAACATATAACAAACATCCACTTACACACATAAAACATACAAAGAGATCAGTATATTTTCTTATAACTCTATTACCATATTTAAAAATTTATATGGGTTTGCTTAAGTTTCTGTATACTCTTATCTTTTTACCATAGTTTCTATTTGACTAAAAGAGATTAATAATACCAAAAATTTCATTACTTTAAACTATGCATTTATATTGTACCAGTCATACAGTTTTTTCCATGTCTTTTGAAATGTTGGGTCTGTTGTCCCTCTCATCAACGATGACAGT